TAATTTTTTTTTGGAAAGTACATTCCTCACTCAGAAAAGCACTACTACCACTCAATGAAACAGAACCCTCAGTTTTAGCTAGTGGCCACCTCAAAGTGCCGTTGGGGGAGGTGGGGAGAAATGTGGCTCAAGCACTTGAGCTCTTTCTCTCTTCAGGTCTGTTTTTATGCATGCACTTTCTCCCCCTGGAATGTTCCTTCTCAACTTCCCAAAACTCCCCTATTAAAACCCTACTCTTGAAAAGTCACCTCAAACACCAGCTGTCTTCTTCAGGATGACTTCACTATTTAAAGTAATGTATAACATATTTTATCTCTCATACCACACTTAATATATTTTCTTTCTCATGTTTTACATTGTCATTACTTATTTGTGTCTTTATCTTACTGAGCTTTAAAACTCCTTGAGGCAAAAACCAAATCTTGTTTGCCTTTGTAACCTTCAGAATGAGAGCTAACACCTACCCTGCACATTGGTGCTTCATACACATTAGCCAAATTAATTGACTCAGTCTATAGAATCCCATTTTATATTTGTGTTCTATTTATCTAGGAGTGGATAGAAGGATTTTGCATTTATTTTTCACATTAGTTTTCCTTGTCTATATCCATTCTATTTAATACAAGTTTTATTTGCCATATACTTTTTCCTTTTGTGGTTATGGAAAAATATTTAATGAGAAAGTTACCCTCCAGACCAATAGCTTTTTTATTCTAATAACACCAAAGCAGAAGTAGCCTTTGTCCAATATGATTGCTACGGGAGCAATAGGTCAGATGCTCCTCTTCTGGTGAAGAATGAGAAGCAGCAGCTGGGAAAGATGCTTGTGAATGGCCACCTTCTCGGATTAACTATTTAGTCACTCATCAAAACATTACCAGCCCAAACAATTATATACATGAGCATTAAAAGAAAAAATGCATGTACACGAAAATTGTGACTTCGAAGTTATTTCCACTCAGAGATTATCACAAAATTTTCTCCATTACTAAGGTGATGATGTATCATGAGGGAACATTTGCAAAGTAATATGAACTGATTTTTGTCATAATCGCTTTTGTAATGTTGACTGTAAAACTTTACTTTTTTAAGATTTTAAATATAATCTAAAATAAACTTTATAGTTGCTACTATTTATTGAAGAAATTTGCTAAATATTACTTTATTTCTAATGTATTATTTAAACAATTTTATGTTTGTAGACAAAATCCTTCCTAGTTGTCAAAATTCTTAGAATCTGCACAAGATGTTTACTAAACTGAGTCTCATTATCTCCCAACTTCACTTTTCCCAACTTCCTGCCTTGTTCCTTGTACTCCAGTTGGTAAATCAAACCTCTTATGATATTTGAAAACACCATACTGTTTCACCTTAATGATTTTGCTCTTGCCTTCCCACCCTTCCCCTGGACACTTCTTACTCAACCTTCATGACTCAGTTCAGGTCTCATTTCCAACAGTAATTTGATCGTGGAACCCCAGCCAGTATGACTTGCCTTTACCTTTTCCCCATAGTCCCCTTGTCATCATCTTAAATCATCACTTACTGCCGTGTAACATGTTTTATTGTAGTTATCTGTGTATTTGTCTTTTATTCCCAATAGTACATAGACTTTTCAATAGAAAAACCATTACGTATTTGACTTTATATTTTCATTTTCTAAAAGCATACCCTTCTCCTCCTAGGTCTTCCTAGGTGACTGAACTAAATTGTCCAAAGACCCTTAAATAGATTCACAATGCTACCTGGGCTATTCATGTTTTAAGGGATATAAAAACTAATATAGTTACAATTTAATATAGATAATAGAATTTCACTACAAGAATATGCCTATAAATTTATAAAATATCTGATTTACATGAATGGGAAATATGATTCATGTGACCTTTCATTAATAATATAATTTTCAGGTGTTTCTTTGAGTAAAAAAAACCTTTTTTTTTTTAACTTTTAATGTTAAGATAATTGTAGTCATAAACTTGTAAGAAACACAGGGAGATCCAGTATGCCCTCAACTCACTTTCCTCCTGGAGGCTCTTTTAACTGGTGTTTAGTTTTGCTTCAAAATATACACATATAGAACTATAAGCTACTGATCCAACAATCCTCAAACAAAATCCTAGAGCTCTTTTCCAAAAATAATTTGATAGGCAAACTTGATCATCCTCACCAAATAACAGAAAAAACAGGAGTGATTCCTTATGAAAAGTAAAGAAATTCTCTAGGCTTCAGTCCTTCAGAGCTCCCCTTTTACATTCACAGATGTTTATAAGAGGTGCAGTCATTGTCCAATACCCACAAGATGATCAAATTATAACTTACCTGACCATACGCTGTGTCCAAAAATTATTTTCAAAATTCGAAAGGATTTTAAATCACCTATGTCTTCCCTCTTTCTATTTTGAAACAATAACTAAATAATAATATAAAAATAATAGCTAAACCTTTTTAAGCTTGCCTAAACTAGTGGCAGAGTGGAAAAAAAAATGGTTGATTGAATCTTTGAATATTGTGCTCCCATTTCAGGTAAAGCAGAAAGAAACCAAGGTGTATCTAAGGTAAATATAATCTACAATACCACATGCAGTGCATCCTCAGAAATAATTGGTCAGAAATTCAGATATATATTATACTATTACTATAGCTCAGTCTGTTAGTATAGTTTAATCCCACAATGTTGCATGCACCTTCAAAAATATTGGTTTATTTTTTGATTAAAATCATCCTTCATTCCTCTTTGTTCTATTAATTTTCAGTTTCAAAAGTATACATAAGGTAATATCTTGCAGTTTACTGACAGTACTTTCTTGTCTTTTAGCCAGACAATGTAAGGAACTGCCTAATCTTTTGCCCCCGAATTCTACCTCCTGCTCTTCTTTGTATTTTCTGCTTATGATATAAATAAAGTATATTAGATTTTGTTCTCTAAGATTCAGACGTTATCCTCTGTGACATGCCATCATCCTTGGGAGGAACAGCACATTAAGTCATTAAAGAAAATTACCTTGATGAGTCATTTTGTCAGATGGTTTACAACAGGATTCCCTTGTAGGAATGGGAAAGAGGAGGAAGATATGATGGAGAGGCAACATAGTCAGAGATGGCGAGCAATAGCATCTGAAAGTCAGAGGCTTAAGTGTTAACATCCATTATTCCTGACCTTTATCACCTTACCACCTGTGTGTGTGTGAGTTAAATAATCTAAGTATCTTCCTTTTTTTTTTTATTTGTAATCGAGACCAACAATAGTATCCTTAGAGGGTTATTGTGTGAACTAAAATATTTTTCAGAATATGCAAATAAATGTGTGTGTGTGTTTGTACGTGTGTGTATACCTTAGGGCAACTACCAGCATAAGGGAAACAGATGTAAAAAACCACGGATAATGTCTCCTTTATCCTTCACAATCTTTCCTTGGTTTTGGCTTGCAAATAGAGTGAGATATACCTCTTTTGATGAAAAGGAGTGCTGTGTTAGGTCAGAGACTTCCTACAGATACATGGACAAAAGGGTCTCTGACATGTAGTTTTGGCAAAGTCTCTGGTTATGTCAACTTTGCAACAGGGGAAACTCAAGCATTTCTATTAGCCTCCATAAGGCTAACCCGTGAAGGAATAGGACAGAAGGTATTCATCTCTCGAGAATAAGTTAAGCCACTCTATCTCTATGGGTAGAGTGAAAACATAATCTGTAGACGACATTGGGGATGGTGTTTCTCATGATACATGACAAATGATAATATGCTCAACTTTCAGATTTTATGTATTAAGCCAATGGGAATTTGTATGTATTGCTCAGGATTTACAAAGCCCATTGAAGTATTTCCAAAATCTGGAACTGTTGGAGAAAAACTCCCCTCTAATGATAATTAAGAAGAGACTAAGTTCCAGGAAAATTCTAATCATTTTATAGGTACTATCTCATTTAATATTCACAACAAAATTATGAGGGAGGTACTATTATGTTGCCCATTTTGCAAATAAAATTGAGTCATGGGACACTTCAGTGACTTCTACTGTGGTAATTCACTAATAAATGTAAAGCCAGGAGTTCAACCCAGGTATTTTGGCTCCAGGGGCCACATGCTAATCACAATGCTACTTCTCTACCCTGAACAAACTGCTGAGAATTTTGAAATATGTAGTTTTAGTTCCTTAGGTCTTCTTAAACTAAAATGGGTGGGCACTTCGGGTAGACGATAAACTGCCTTCCCTATTGTGATCTACGAACTTTTCCGAGAAAATTATCTTCAGATGCAGCAATAGAAACTTGTGTATAAGGGGAAAAGGAGCTATTGTCTACCTCTTACTACTTCCCTCGATTTTCCATTTTTCCTAGAAACAAAAACTTTAAAAGTCCATGTTTATGGATTTTCCCCCAACACAGAGCAGTGATTCTGCCACTTCAGAGACAGTGTAGATGTTGGGATTAGTCTCTCTGTATCTCAGAATGTCAACACATTTGCCAAAAACGAATCTATCAGTTAAATGTAGCCAAGAGATTTAGTTTATCTAGATCCTACAAAGAAGAAATAGTTTACCACTGTTTTTACATATTGAGGTAATCTGACGTATTATTGACATGTGCTATAGATTTAATTTAATACCATATTACAGATATGTGCTTTGATAAGTTATTTTGAAATCTAAACTGAGTGGAGTTGTTTCAATATTTATAGGGTTGAAAATGTAGAGTTAGCAAAGGAAACATTTTAATTAAAACAATATTTTTCTATGTATGCTCAGAGTAAAATGAAGGGGAATTCTTTTAAAGCCTTATTACTTTCTTCCATATATTTGCTGGAAATACTTCCTGGATTTTAAGACACATTGAACAAGATTTGCTTGTTTGTTTACCAATGTTTTGAGCCTTTTGTTTCTAGAACCACCAAAAAAAAAAAAAAAAAAAAAAACAAAGCCTCAATAGTTTCTTTTGATTTTACTTTTCTTCCAAATAGCTTTAGGATTATTTATTTAGCCATTTCAAATTGTATGTTTTAGGCATCCTGGAGATAACATCAGTAGAAATCGGAGTTGTTGCCGTCAAAGCCATTAACAGCAACTATTACTTAGCCATGAACAAGAAGGGGAAACTCTATGGCTCAGTAAGTATTCTGCTTTTGTTTTCAAATCCACTTCAGTAAATCATTACCACAGTTTTGGAATGTTTCCTCCAGACACTGAATAGTTTTGTTATCCTTCTATTGCTAGTAAATAGAGCCACAGTGGGTCGGTCACCACTGTTTCAAGGGCTGGCCAAACAGCTCTTCCAATTCTCTAATCTCCTCTGTTGTTCACCCATTAGTCCACCACACAGGCTGCTGCTGGCATTTGTCTGTGAATGTTCTAAACTGCTAACCAAGTCAGGCTCTCACGGAAGCATCTGGTCAGATTGGCACGGGAACTGCAGACAACTTGGAGAAAAAACACTAAGAATAAAGATCTTGAATTGAGTAGAAACCCATGTATTATGTGTGTGTTATGGCTGAAGATAAAACAAGGGCTCAGATGTTTTGCATTTTGTTAAAATCTGAAATGGGGAAATGCATCAAGAGACACCATTTTGCTTGTTGTTCAATCAACTCTAGAATTTTATTTATCTAGACAATAACCATTAATTCAAATTATGCCTCAAAATCATATATATGTATATGGGAAATATTCTTCGCAATAGGCTCCTTGTGGAGCAGATATCCCTGCAGTGCTTTGGGCACATCCATGGCTGTATTCCATACCAGGTGTTGAGTATTTGGAATACCACTTCTGAAATCTTGGATCAAACTCATTTAAACCAATTTTTTAGAAATTTAAGATCTCACTTAAAATACCAAATAGTTGTTTTATAATTGCAATTGTAACAATAATTAAATTACCAGCAGTGAGACAATTTGTCCTGTTCAGGTCCTTAGAAAAAAAATGCATCAATCAATCATATCAACATCTACCATATGCCAGATACTGTTTGACATATCAAAGATGCATAAGAAAGAAGTATAGAAATGGGCCTTGACTTCAAATAATTTATAATATATTTAGGGGAAAATGTTAACAAATATGAAATAATTACAGCATCATTGGTTGTTACATGTATGAAAGGATCAAGTATAGTAAAGCAGCCCTATGATAAAGTTGGGAACTAAGTTTCAATCCCTTAGCTGTCATTCGAATGATGACAGGAGTATGTTAGTTTGTGCATATGGATCCTTCTTATTGTGTCCCTCCCATAGGTACATCAAGGGGATGCTAACTGAATTTCATTTTTTTTTCTCTGGATTCTACTGCAGGGGAGTATATTGAAGGCAGCTGTAAACTTGGAAAAATTTTAACTGAATTTTTTGGAGAACATGTAATATTACATATGGCCAGGAATAAAATCTGTGACACAAATCTCTTAAATAATTTTATATTTTTCAAAACAGATCCTGTGTCATTTTTACACTTTTATGTAATCAAAAAAGAATTTCACTTTAAATTTGTAGATAAACTTACTTTATTGATTAGCATAAGGCTGATGCTAGTAACCATTTAGAACCAGCAGCTCTCAAACTTGAGTATGCATCAGAATCACTGGAAGGGCTTATTAAAAGACAGAATAATGGTACCCACAGCCATATTTTCTGATTCAATAAGTCTGTGGTGCAGTTCAAGAATTTCCATTCCTCACATGGTCCCAGGTGTTCCTGATGCTGCTGTTGCAGTAACCACAATTTGAGAACTGCTGGTCTGGACGTAGAGTAATCTTGCGTTTTACAAATATCAGATTCACTTTTAACTGGGGAGTCAGGCATGCTTTGAGTTGGTCCCTGTGACTAGGGTAAATGGTTTTTTTGTGTGGAGGTCAGAGGAATTTTAGTAAAAGTTCTCCATTACCGTGGCTCCCCTAATGAACCCAGAGGAATACCAGACGATTATAAAAAGTGGTTCCATTTAGGGGTTCACATCATAATCACTTTTGAGGCATGTTTAATGTTTTCATTACTTAGTCTAGACCTAATGTCTTAAAGTCAGCTAACACTAATTTAGACTAAGGAAGAAAATGTAAATAATTTTAATGAATATAAAATATTTTAAATAATTTTAATTGATAAAATATACTTATTTAAAAACATGACATCAAGGAGAAATGGATAACTTTCAAATAAACTCTGACATAAAAATATTTAATAATTTTCTTCACATTTCTCCTTTTTTCTTCTGCCCCAACACAGCTCATGGATTGTGCTTATGCTTCATCTTGAGCTCTAAGCTCTGTGAATTATTTCATTCAAATTCTTTATCTAAAGTACAGTCCAGTGGCTTTCTATTATCTTCAGTGGCACTTATCTGAGATTTCTCTCATTAATGTGTTTTTTGTTCACTGTCTTCTCCCAGTAGATTGTGACCTTGGAGACAGCGAGGTCAGTCTTGTCCCCTGCTATTTATTCAGCTCTTAGAACTGTACAGAACACAGTTATACATTGCATAAACCTAACCTCTCCTGGAAGCTCAGTCAATTACAGAACATGATTTACACTTCCAGCCTGTCTCAGAAAGAAACTCATTCTCTAACCACAATATTCTTTTTTCTGTGACTTTACATTTCTACTAGGAATAATGAAAAATTATGGCTTGTTAAAATTAAACAAAAAATTTATTCAAGTTCAATGTTCTGCTCAGAGTGGAATAGGACTAACATCAAAATTTATGAACACATATCTAATATAATTCTGTATATTAGGTGACAACTCTTGTAATTTCTACCTTCATTTTTTTGTTTCATATAGTATCCATCGATTCCGTAAGCCCTCCTAAAAATCTAATTTGGGCAAAGTTTCAGATTGACTGATTAAACCAGTTTTATATCTATTCTCTTGAATGATCTTCCTCTATTTCTTTTTGGAAACTATATACCTTTCTTATATTTTCATTATTCGTTATCTAAGCAATGTATCTATTGTATTGTGAGTTTTCTCCTGACTGATGGGATTCAGTAAATAAATTATAAAACAGAATTAAATAGAATAGGCCTTCATAGAGCATGATTTAAAGACCAAAGAAATTTTTCAGGTAGCTGGGAAAAATCCAAACTTCTTTTTAAGAAACTCCCCAAACCCTGCTTTTGAGACCTTGCCATAGCCTGAATTTTCTTTTTATACATTACTGCTTATGATTTCTTAGATCCTGTCAACAACATATTCGAGGCCCCTCCTCCAGAGATTTTGGTACCTTTGACCTATGGCCCAAATATTTAAAACATCTGAAAGAAAAGGCTGATACATGTGCACTTCAATTTAAGAAACATTACTCTGTAAATTAATTTTTGGGAGGAAAATTAATTAAGCATACATTCCCACTTTTCTCTACATAGCTTCATCTGAAATACGAAATCACCTCAAATAATCTCAGTCCTTCATTAGCCTCTAAACGTACCCCATTTATTGAAATGAACATAATTATCCATATTTCAAAAATTAACTCTGCTTTGAAAGGTAGGTAGTTTTAGACAGACTGAGATAAAGAGAATAAAAGTAAATCCAAACTAAGGATTTATATTCCTTTGAAATACAGAATTATTTTTGTTTTATCAAAATCCTTACCTTAAATAATTTACCTTTCCTTCTTACTTTCAGCCAGTTAAATCATCATTTGAATGTTATGTTTAAATATTACTTTATAGAAGAGAAGTATTTAAGACTAAAATATTTCAGGACAGGTAACTTGAGCTGGTAACATTAACATAAAATATATCTGCTTCTTATGGTTCTGATGATGTTCAAAATTGTGATATATCCTATAGACACCTAGGTATATAAACATGTACATTTTCAGAAATTTGGAATTTTATAGAAATTTCAAAATGTCTCAAGGTGAGAGAAACTGCCAAGTAGAGTCCTCAACTGAACTATGCCTACGGGGCCCTTGCTCTGGATGAAGAAGTTAGAACCAGAGGGCAAGTGCTCCAATTCCTTAGCTTCTTAACTACTTTAGTTTGAGTATAAGAAAAGAGCTTACTTCTAAAGCCAGAGTCTTGAGATCATTGAGGTACCTCCTCTTAACTCCAGAGTAAGATCCTGGATTTGTGGAGTGAGTGAGAGCAAAGCCTTGTCCAGGTGTGTCTTCTTAAATCCAGCTGGCCTCCTGAACAAAACCAAAGCTCTATGGCTATAGGATGGAACTTCCCAGGATCAAAGTCCTTAGGCTTATACAATATAGGCATTGCGATTCACCATGCTCATAATTTCTTCAACACAGTAGTTCACAAAATGAGGAATTCCATGTCCTAGTTTTCAATCCCTGGAGTTCATGAGCAAAATCTGTCAAAATTCCAAGCTATAGAATATTGCAAACAGTTTCATTAAATTAAGAAATTTGATATTTGGAAGGAAGATATCCCCCTTTTTGGTTATGTAGAACTACTGTGGTTTTGCTGTAAGATCTGCTTTCTTATGAATGTGTGTGTGTATTTATTGTGGATTTGTAGGTAAAGTTTGCAAACTTGACAAGCCCATATCTTTCCTTTAGTTCTACTTTTTCCCATTGGGCCCCTGGTTATTACTGTAAAAGAAGCATTATAACACTATTGTTTATTACTGACTCATCACAAATATTGTTACTGGGATGTCTACTTCTTGACAATTATTCTAGGCCCTTAAACCATATAATATTCAAAGCACATCAGCTTTTTAAAACGGCTTTCAAAAAATGACTATGATGATCAATTAAAATGTATCATGTGCTTTCAAACAGAATGTGTTTTGTGGCTCTGAGATTTACTTTTCTATTGTTGACATCATGTATTAAGCACACACCTTAGGTACAGATGGCAACTACAAACAGAATCCTTGGACTGGAGTTCTCTGGACCATTTGTATCAAATGAAATCAAGTACAATCACCATAGGAATAAAAGAGTCTGTTGTTTTTCCTTTGCAGAAAGAATTTAACAATGACTGTAAGCTGAAGGAGAGGATAGAAGAAAATGGATACAATACCTATGCATCCTTTAACTGGCAGCATAATGGGAGGCAAATGTATGTGGCATTGAATGGAAAAGGAGCTCCAAGGAGAGGACAGAAAACACGAAGGAAAAACACCTCTGCTCACTTTCTTCCAATGGTGGTACACTCATAGAGAAAGGCAATGTTTGTGGATGCAGCAGAACCATGGCTCTTTTGCCAAGAATAGTGGATATTCTTCATGAAGACAGTAGCTTGAAAGGCAAAGACATGTTGCAGATGTCTGCTTGCTTAAAAGAAAGCCAGACTTTGAAGGTTTTTGTATTCACTGCTGACATATGATGTTCTTTTAATTAGTTCTGTATCATGTCTTATAATCAAGATATAGGCAGATCAAATGGGATAGAAGTTATTCCCAAGTGAAAAACATTGTGGCCGGGTTTTTGTTGTTGTTAGGTTTTTGTTTTGAAACTTCTGAGATAGAACTTAAAGGACATAGAACAATCTGTTGAATGAATGATCTTCGGGAAAGTTATTTATGGAATACGAACTCATATCAAAGACTTCATTGCTCATTCAAGCCTAATGAATCAATGAGCAGTAATACACGCAAGCATTTACTGGAAAGCACTTGGGTCATATCATATGCACAACCAAAGGAGTTCTGGATGTGGTCTCATGGAAGAATTGAATAGAATTTAAAAATATAAACATGTTAGTGTGAAACTGTTCTAACAATACAAATAGTATGGTATGCTTGTGCATTCTGCCTTCATCCCTTTCTATTGCTTTCTAAGTTATTTATTTAATAGGATGTTAAATATCTTTTGGGGTTTTAAAGAGTATCCTCAGCAGCTGTCTTTATCTTTTCTTTTTCTTCAGCACACCACATGCATGTTCACGACAAAGTGTTTTTAAAACTTGGCAGACACTTCAAAAATAGGAGTTGGGATTAGGGAAGCAGTATTAGTGCCCATTTGCTATCAGTTGACTTAATTTGTATTTCTGCAGTAATAACCATCAACAATAAATATGGCAATGCTGTGCCATGTCTTGAGTGAGAGATGTCTGCTATCACTTGAAACCATACATTACTCTCGAGGCTTCCTCTCTCAATAAATAGACCAGAAGGCCAAATTCCTCTCTTTCAACACATCAATTTACCTCCAAGAATATACTAAAAAAAGGAAAATTAATTGCTAAATACATTTACGTAGCCTCGCCTCATTATTTACTCGTGATTTTTTGCCATATGTCATGGAGGTAAAGAGACTGTTCACATCTCTAAAAACCCTCTGTAAATTCCACATAATGCATCTTTCCCAAAGGAACTATCAAAGCATTTGATATTAAGTGCAACTCTCCCAGGGACTTAAACTGAGCACATCAAATGTATACTGGTATATGTGTAACCATATGCAAAAACCTGTTCAAGCTGTATGACCTCGTCTTTACAAAACCAAATAAAACTTGTTTTCTGTAAATTTAAAGAGCTTTACAAGGTTCCATAATGTAACCATATCAAAATTCATTTTGTTAGAGCAGGTATAGAAAACAGTACATAAGAGTTTGCCAATCATCATCACATTGTATTCCACTAAATAAATACATAAGCCTTATTTGCAGTGTCTGTGGTGATTTTAAAAATGTAGAAAAATACAATTTGTTCTAAATAGTTTTAATCAATACCTATAAAAGTATATTGATGCTGCAATTTTAGCTTCATATTTCTTGTTTTGAAAAAGTGTTTTATTGTTTGGACACAGTATTTTGGTACAAAAAAAAGACTCACTAAATGTGTCTTACTAAAGTTTAACCTCTTGAAAGGCTGGTGTTCTGTGATTCTCTTACAAACTTATAGGTGTCAGTACTTAACCAGCACTTCCATTTAATCTGTTATTTTAAAAAATTGCTTTATGAAGAATTTTTTGCATAAAATAATCCTATAAAAGGTCATATTTTTCAAAAAAATTGTATTTCAGAAGAAACACATTTGAGGCACTGTCTTTTGGCTTATAGCTTAAATTGCATTTCATGATACTTTACTTCCAACTTGTTTTTTGGCAAACGAGATTATAAAAATGTTTAATTGTTGTGGTTGGAATATGGATGTTAAAATTCAACTGGTAATTCAGTCTGTGAGCTATAATGTAATGTGTTCCTATCAAAACTAGGTATCTTTTTTTCCTTTTTTAAAAAATAATAATTGCACCTGACACATAAACACAGACCACACACAACCAAAATTAAATGTTTGGTGAGACAAATACACATTGGATGACCACAGTAACAGCAAATAGGGCACAAACTGGATTCTTATTTCACATAGCTATTTAGATTACCAAAGAGGCTATGTGTAAACAGTAATCATTATAGTACTCAAGACACTAAAATAGCTTCTAGCAAAATGTATTACAGTTTGCAGACACCAAAAATAGAAAACATCTCCCTGTCTCTCCCACACTCCCCTCACAGTAAGACAAAAATCCTGCCTGGTGCAGTAGCTTACACCTGTAATCCCAGCAGTTTGGGAGGCTGAGGTGGGAAGATGGGATGGCTTGAGTCCAAGAGTTCTAGACAGGCCTGAGAAACCTAGGGAGACATCATTCTCTTAAACAAAACAAAACAAAACAAATGTAGCCATGCATGGTGGCATGTACCTGTGGTCCCAACTACTCAGGAGGCTGAAGCAGAAGGATCTCTTGGGTCCAGGAGTTTGAGGCTGCAGTGAGCTATAATCTTGCCACTGCACTCCAGCCTGGGTGAACAAGAGCCAGAAAGAAAGGAAAGAGAGAAAAGACAGAAAGACAAGGAAGGAAGGAAGGAAGGAAGGAAGGAAGGAAGGAAGGAAGGAAGCTCCACCCGTAGATCCGCTCCCTTTTTTGCACCGCTCAAGACAAGGAAGGAAGGGAAGGAAGGAAGGAAGGAGGAAGGAAGGAAGGAAGGAAGGAAGGAAGGAAGGAAGGAAGGAAGGAAGGAAGGAAGGAAGGAAAGAAGGAAGGAAGGAAGATTGTTTGGTAAGGAGTAATGACGTTCTTTTGCATTTAAAAGTGGCATATTTGCTTCAAATGGAAATAGAATTCTGGTCCCTTTTGCGACTACTGAAAAAAAAAATCAGTTTCAGCCCTGAATGTTGTAGGTTTGAAACAAAAAATTGGAGATTTTGAGAGCTCTGCCTCTGTAGGAGTATGGCCCTAGGCCCACAAAGTTAAAGTACATCAGTCACAAATATGTGTCTATTTGAGTTTTGCTTCTGAAAATACTCCTCATAAAGGTATAGAATCACTCCCTCCTCCTAACTCCCAAAAGGCCGAACAGTTATAGCATGTTACATTTAAATAAAAACAATAAAAATGTTAGGAAAAGAAAATTAAAATATTGTCCTTGTTTGTTTTATTAGTCAGAAACTCTACCTGGTAATAAAGAGAGAAGCTCAAGTATGTGCATGGCAGGATGTGGTTAAATGCCCAACAGCCCCAAACAACAACAGAATAAAAAATTACTCAAACATTTGTAAGGTTTCTTTAATGTTTCACATGTGTGAGTTAACTATCCTTACTTTAATAACAACCAAATGCTTTCAATCTTTCCTACGTATTCAGGTCCACCTAATTTACAGAGTGGATAAAGAAAAATGAATTGGAAACGAGGATGGCTTGTGAAACAATGGAAGACTTTTGGAGGAAAGCCAGGTGGCTGCAGAATCTGATTTCAAGGAGATGAATGACAAATGAATTTGATTTGAAAATTAGAGAGAAAAAATACATAATAATGCAAGTTGCTTCCAGGGCCCAAGCAAGTTTATGAACCCAGTTTACATAGATCAGCATTAATGCTGCACAGTTCTAATAATTTGGATGCTGCCAATTCAAGGTTTATGATTATTCAGTGAAGTAAAATTTACCTTTTTAATATTAGTGAAGGGTTTAGCTGGTTCAAATTTTGTCTAAATAAAGTTTTATATATATATATATACACACACACATATATATGTATGTGTATATCTTAAAATATTTAAGAGAAGATGTCTAGTACATTAGAAGTAGGACATATACATGCAAACAGATACCATATTGATTAAGAGTTCTTGTTTATTTCATGAAGTAGGACTTTTCCAACTTAAACTGAAAAAATAAAAATAAAAAGGAATATCTTTGAAGGATGCTCAGGAGAAAAAGGAACTCTGAGTTCTATAGTACTTAGAAATGAAGCAACGAAGATCTGCTTCCTCTCAGACATTCATTTTCTCTTACCTTTTATTGGTTTTATTTGGTTAGGCTAGATTGCTTCAAGTCTACTTCTTTCCTACTACAAAACCAAAACCCCCAAACTCCTTTTCTGCAAGATCCAAAAAGGTAAATATCCTAGATGTAACCCTTATTGGCCAGGTTTGGATCACATACCAACCTCTAGACCAATCAGTATAAGAGATTTGGGCATTGTGATTGACCAGTCTTCAGTGACATGACCACAGAGAGGCAAGGTGAAGATTTTGGCAGCCCGCACAACTGCAACTAGTGAAGAAGAGTACACCAAGGAGATAGCAGTGCTGCAGGTGCAAACACCAAATGGTTGTTTGCTACATCTTATTAAATGAGACTATGATGTAAACACATTTTCTATTCCTGTATTTCCCACCAATTCCAGTTATTCTTCACCTGTTTGTCCAAATCAGAAAGGTTTCAAGATCTTTCTCTTTCATATGTTCTTTACCGTCGAAAGATTATATTTGCATTGTTTTGTTTTAAGCCAAGAGTAGGGTCCTGGATATAGCTAGGCTCACTGTGGTTTTGCAGACTTTATATTGGCATGAATGCAAGTTTTCACTGAATAAAAAGCTGGTCCTTCTACTTCAACCTGTATCACAACATGATGTTATAAATGTTTCTTTCAGTTTATCCCAAGAGTATGTGCTAGTATTTTCAAATATATCAAAATATAGAAAAATTCTGAAACCCTGATGTCATTCATTTTTAAGTGTAAAATAAAAAAAGAAAAAAGAAAAAACCTGATTTTTCTTTTACTACATTCAACTACATTCAACATGTGACAAAAGAAAACTTTATCACCTAAACTTTATCTATTTATCTTTATTTTTGTAGAATAGTAAAAAATACAACACAAAATGCCCTTGCAAGTGAATAATCTGTGGAAAACACCTTCATAAATACCATGTATTAGTTAAAATGGAATAATCACGATCAAACTAATGAGGTCAAAGGAATTGGTCTTGTTTCTAAGTGGCTAATAATGAAAATTTCCATGAGCCTGTTCCATGATAGCAACAAAGGACAACAATTTCATACACAGAGAAAAGCCATATGCCAAACATACATGCATGTGGCATGTATTATCTTACACATTTTTATTATCCGCCACAAAAGAGTCCATGTTCATTGTTTAATAGAGGCAATTGCATCCTCTAGAGATGAGCACAGTAAATGAAGAATCAAAATACCCCATGTTCCTCATTACAACCGTAAATTGAACATATGCCTTCATACAACTTAGGCAGTGACCCCAGCTATAGAATAACCAACTACAGTGAGGCCTTAGCTCTCCTAACGTTTGGTTTTAATTACCTTATACACATCTTAAATGCCTAAATCATCTTACAGTTTTCTAAATTAGTTATTATCTCTGTGGTCAATTTAAGCTGCTGACAATGCAAATATTCCCAGCGAGGTCTTTCAAGGAGAAGTAAATTAAAACCAGTGTTTCATGAGGTATTACAATTTTTAAAAGACTGCTTTTTATGGTTACAAGAAGTATTAGGGTTGGGGTCACTAATCGAATCAACTCAGCATTAAAAAGATTTTAACATCAGGTATATAAACACTAAATGTCTTGATAGTCATTTTTTTCAGTGACATAATATGTTTAGATATCAATGGTGTTTAAGTCAATACCTATAAAATGTTACAAGAAAAATATACGTTTTAGGGGGTTTTCCCACTGAGGAAAACAAGAGAGAAACACTGAAATATGGTATGAATGTAAGTAAAGATACAAACAATACCTTATTTGCTTTCCTGGCAAATCAGATACTGCATTTTACAATTTGTATTTATTCTCATGTAGCAAAACATGAAACTAAATGCGATTTTCAAGTCAGTGTCAGCAATCATTTCTCCTCATCTTATAAAGTTCTGCATTTCATCCTCCAAGGTCTCCTAAGAAATGGTCAAATCAGTATATTTCAACTGCAACAATTAGCTTATCTTTCTCTTTCTCCTCATTTTCAATGCCGGATTATATTAAATAGCTATGTGATACGTATTCCCTTATTAGACTCACAAGAAAATTATAGACTTTATTTAGACCAATCATCTACTTCAGCTGCTTCAAGTGAGTAAAGACTCCATAGTAATGTTTGCAGAGATTGTTGGAGGCAATTAGTATTGAGAAACTGGAATTATTGTTACATTCTCCCCATTTTAAAACATTTCTCTTTCTTTCCACACATATAAGTATTCTCTCATGATAAAATTATCTCTAATCATTTAAATTAATTAAACTTAGTATTGGAAAAAACTAAACATAAGGGCTACTATGGATTGAAGTCCTAATTCCCAGTACCTTCCAATGTGGCTTTATTTAGAAACAGGGTCAATATAGATGCAATTAGTTAATATGAGGTCAGGCTAGAATTGGGTGGACCTCTAATCTGACTGATGTCTTTATGAAAAGGGGAAATTTAGACACTTGCTTGCACATAGGTAGAGCTGTCTTAGTCCATTCAAGCTGCTATGACAATATTATTATAAATAGAGTGGCTTTTATAAACAATAGAAATTTATTTCTTACAATTCTGGAAGTCTGAGACCAGGGTGCCAGTTTGACTGAATTCTGGTAAGAACCCACTTCCTGGTTCATAGATGACTCCCTTCTCACTGTATCCTCACATGACAGAAGGGAAGAGGAGGCTTCCAGGATCTCCTTTATAAAGGCACTAATCTAATTTAAGAGGGCTCTCGTCTCATCACCTAATCACCTCCCAAAGGCCCCCTCCACCTCTTACTACCATTGCATTGGGGATTCGGTTTCAACATAGAAATTTTGCGGAGACAAACATTCAGTCTGTAGCAAGAACACCAGGTGAACATGAAGGCAGAGATTAGGGGTGGTGAGTCTTCAAGCCCAGGAACACCAAAGCTTGCCAGTAAACCACCAGAAATTGGGAGAGAGGTGTGGCACGGATTCTCCCTCAGGAAGAACCAATTCTGCCAACACCTTGATTTCAGACTTCTAGCCCTCAAAGCAGTGAGATAATACATTTCTGTTGTTCAATCCATCCAGTCTGTGATACTTTGTTATGGAAATCCTGGGAAACTAATATAGGGCATGTAACTTAAGACCACAGAACTTATAGTTGGGA